GCTGTTCTCCCCAAACACTAAAGCGATGAGAGACTAAAAGGCAGGACAGAGTTTCCTAAGCCACCTTCAGCTTCTGCAACACAGATTCTGGTGATCGTGTCTCACCTGAAAATACCAGATGGCGCGCAATGTCCCGCATTTCTGGCAGATGAGGCAGAAGACAAAAATGCCTTGTCAATCAGGACCCAGCTGACCATCCACATTAAGAAGCATAAAGACTGTATTGGGTCTCAGCTTAGCCTAGCTTGAGTGTCAGCAGTCTCGAGAGCAATGTAAAAGGCTCAGATGAAGGTCTGATAATGAAGCACATTGAGAGATTCGGTGGCACTCAAAGAAAACTGGTCTTCCTTTTAAAGTATTTGCACCAAAAAAGGTACTCATGTACTACATTAAAAAGCACCATGTAGCTTGTCAACCAAATTACTCAGAGGTTAGGAGACACTACTGACAACCTACAGCATTAATTCAACCCATCTGTTCATTCGGGTGTAGTTTTATATTACAAGGTTTTTAATTAATTATTAAATATTATATTTTAATTAATTATTACAAGATACTTTTTGTTTTTTCCTTAGAGGTCCTGTCTTGTTCAGAGCACAAGATAGATATAGCTTACACTGTTCTGGCAACTCATAATCTTCCAGAGCTTGATTTTGCAAATTAAATACTGTCCTTTCACCAATGAGAGTTTGGGGGAACCTGGAATGTCAATAAAGCAAAATTTGTGTAATATGACCAAATTACTACCCCAGAAACAGTGTCATCCAATTTATGCTTTATCCTACTGTTCATGGTCTTCCCAGTGCCATCGAGTTCTGTAACTCTGTTTGCTGCATCCAGCTATTCTCTCTCACATGATAATTAGTTTGTTAGCTGTTCAGGAAGAGATCATTTTAATGTTATGCATTCATATACTACATAGCACAGTAAAACCTTGTTCACTGATTAGAGCCCTACCGGTACTACTAAAATAATTATGACACCACCCACATAAGAGGTAGCACACCAACACAGCACTTAAAAGACCACCTGGAAGTGCTGAGGCATGCAAAAGTAATGGGGAAAATAACGAAACAAGTTCTTTCAAACCCTTAATAAAAAAATGTTTCTTTTGTGACTGGGTGGCGTTCTTTAAAATACGTAGTTTTGTCCACCCTGTTTTATTCATCATTCAGTTAAATATGTAGTGTGACAAAAAAACTGACAGAGTAAATACTAAAATATTCCCCACCACAAGCAATGTATAAATAGGTAGCCAATCACGTTTCTCTGTCTGAGACTAACTCAGGAGCATGGTTTTAAAACTAATTAGCAAGGTAACCTTTTTCCCCTTCCCTTAGGAAATCTACTGTGGCCGATCCAAAACATATCCAATCCAAAATTCAAAACTAGGCTTCTTGCCAGCCATTACAGGACTAATTCCCACAACAGCCTAGAGAGTTTTAGCCATATTCAGTGTGCAACTGAATATATGTTTACAGGTAAAGCACAAGGTGTTTGTTGCATGGAAGCTTTCCCTTTATACTGGCCATTCTTAAGAGCTTACAAGATTTCACTAAAAATAGCAAGCTAGCCACAATCGTCATAAAACATGTAAAACTAAACACAGTACCACAGGTTTACCCATTTATGAACTTTCCAGATAAACAGCATCAACTTTTAATCACCCATTAAAATGTAATTAAAGGCGGCAGAGATGCCTCCCCACCAGAGTAGAAGCCAGGCAAAACCCGGGCCGGCAGACCTCCACGCAGAGAGAGGCTGGAGGTCCATGTCTGTGCTAGTGCAAACTGTATCCCCATGACATGACTGGTGTCAGCGCACGAGCAGGCAAACACGGGAAGTGGGATGAATGCCTTCCTAACCCGTGGGAAAATCAAGCAGCACGGTGGCTTCCTGACCTTGGGCTGGCCAGATTGTGGCCCAAGGATAAGCCCACGCTGGAGAAGGTACACCTTGAAGCATCTGTGGCTGTGCATGAGGTCATGCTGGAGCACCTCAAAGCATGTGGCCACGGATAAGCCCACGACAGAGCAGATACACCCCTAAGAGGGACTGCAGCCATGGGTAAGGTCATGCTGGAACAGGTTTACTTCTGAAGGGACTGTGGTTGTGGGCAAGGCCACTCTGGAGCAGGTATATCTCTGAAGGCATTGTGGCCTATGGAGAAGGCCACACTGGAACAGGTGCACCTCAAAGCGACTGTGGCTGTGGATAACTCTATGCTGCAGCAGGTATACCCCCTGGAGAGACTGTGGTGCATAGGTAAGGCTCCACCTTAGGCAGGTGCACCCCTAAGTGGATAAGTCCAAGCCAGAGCAGGGGCAAGGGGAGGAGTTCATTGCAATGTTAAACCCTATAACCTGGCCCAAAGGGACCAGGGGTGGAGATTGTAGTGGAAATACCTTTAAATGGTTGTAACCTGTGATTTGAGTTGCATGTTATAGGAATTACTATAGCAGGAACCACCTGAACCAATGGAGGAGAAGCCTTACAAGAAGCAGTGCAAGTGCAGCAGTGACCCGACCTGAGCTGGCTTTGGTGCCCAATAACTCCATGCAACACACCACCTCTCCTGGCCTGAGTGACCACCATAACAGATGGAGCTCAAAGGCATGGACTAAATGAACTCAATGGACATTTATGGACATTTCACAGGGGTGGTCCATAGACGAAGGGAATGATATCTGTGTATTTTATCAAAGGGTGGTAAGGAGGGTGGTGGTTAATGAGAATGTATTGGATAGTGTGGGACCTGAGCATGATGTAAATGGTATAGAATAAGGGGAGGAGAATGTGCTGCTTTTGGCTGGGATAGAGTTAGTTTTCTTCATAGTAGCTGGTATGGGGCTATGTTTTGGATTTGTGCTGACAACAGTGTTGATAACACAGGGATGTTTTAGTTACTGCTGAGCAGTGCTTACACACAGTCAAGGCCTTTTCTGCTTCTCACCCCTCTCCACCAGCGAGCAGGCTGGGGGGGCACAAGAAGCTGGGAGGAGGACACAGCCGGGACAGCTGACCCCAGCTGACCAAAGGGATATGACGTCATGCTCAGCATATAAAGCTGGGGGAAGAAGGAGGAAGGGGGGGACGTTTGGAGTGATGGCGTTTGTCTTCCCAAGTCACCGTTACGCGTGACGGAGCCCTGCTTTCCTGGAGATGGCTGAACACCTGCCTGCCGAGGGGAAGGAGTGAATGAATTCCTTGTTTTGCTTTGCTTGCGTGTGCGGCTTTTGCTTTACCTATTAAACTGTCTTTGTCTCAACCCACGAGCTTTCTCCCTTTTACTCTTCTGATTCTCTCCCCCATCCCACCGGTGGGCAGTAAGCGAGCGGCTGCGTGGGGCTTAGTTGCCAGCTGGGGTTAAACTATGACACCAGAGAATAAAGACAAAAGCTAACATTAAATTTACACCACTAGAGCGTCATGTGAGAGAAAAATGCAAAAAAGCTGTATTTGTATTTGGAGAGGCTGAGTTAATGGGGTTATGGCCTACAGCTCATGCACACTACCATAATACAAAATGCACTGGTATCATACAAACAAATCATCTAGTCTGATAGCAGGATGCATCCTAAAATGTGCCTTTACGTGTTAAGCCTTTCACAGAAAAGAAGTAATCTTCTCTTATTTTTATAATACACACTGTATTTAATGGTGTATATGGTATGCCTCTGGAAATGTTCCCAGTAATAGCCATTTCTATTTTATTTGCCTCTACAGGAAAAAGGGAAACACTTCTGAGAGCAAAAAAAACCTACCTGCTCTTCATTCACACCTCAATTTCCTCAGGAAATCGAAAATACTGTTTTTAACAGTCTACCTTTAGTTCACAGCTGAATCTGACTTTCATCTCCATGGAATGAAACTTGGTTAGAAGCTTATCAAGGAACTGAATTCATAAATGTGTAGACTACGGCACAGAAATAAAGATATACTGAGTAGGGCAGCCTGTAGCTTTCAGCAGCAATCAATAATCTTCTGCTAATACTGTTCTGACTTCAGTCTCTACATGTTCAACTTCTGCTAAACAGAAGAAATTGGCAAACATTTAGCCAATTCAATAATTTATTATTTTTAGATGAAACATGACATCTCTTGAGGTTAGGGTCTTGTGCAGTACTCTCAACACAGGACAGTGACTTTAAAAGCATAACTGTTTGACTTAATTTAACCACAGGCCAGGCATAAAATTAAGGTAATATGAAAACCACCCTATGAATACAGCGCTGGTCCCACCTGCTGAGCATCCCCTGCTCCTCACCTGTGACTGCAGTAACTGCACAGGCCATTTAGGGGGGGAGCACTCCACACAGCACTGCCCCAAGCCACTGCCTGCTTTGGCTGAAACATCTCAGCCTGGTTTCAATTTTCTTGCCTATTTAGGACTGTAATCTCCCGGTGGAAAAAGCTTTCAGACATCTGGTGAGTCCCTGTCAAGAAGGCTCAAGAGAGCTTGGGCCCAAGGACACAGGGATGGTTCAGGCAGAGTGAAAATGTCATTGCCAACACCCTGACTCCTGGGCCTCTACCAGTGAACAGGCAGCCACCAGACCAACCATACGATACACTCTGAAACAGGTGTTCAGCGAGTGGTCCAAGTGAAGCAGCCTGTGACATGCTCAGGGACATTGCTTCCCAGACACCACAGGCCAAGCGAAGCTGGACAGCGTACTGCACCAACCACTGGCTTCAGGGCACAGTAATAAAAGGGGAAAAATATTAATCCTACTTTCGTATCATAATTCCGTACTATTTATACTTTCTTCATTTAATTTTCAACAACATTCAGCATTTGATTCTGTTCCTATCTAAGATATTAATGGCTACTCCAAGACTTTAATGCAAACAAACAGAAATACATTATTACTGGAAACCTGAGCCAGGAAATAGTGAAAGTCAGTGAAAGTATTACAATCTAATGCTCTACAGGCAAACGGCACAAACAGGGTAAATTTTACATATGGAAAATCCAGTCTGTCATGTCATTTACTCACCGTTTGATGACTTCGGTCACAGTAGCGCAGTCCGAAGTAATCTATCTCCAGTAGGTTTAAGTGACGAAATACGTAGCCCAGGACAACCGACCCTTTCGTTGACTTCTGTGGGAAAGAATTTACAGAGCCTTTTCACAAAGATGCTCTGCCTTTGTCAGCTATGTGCAGTGGCATTCATGCATTCAGTTAGCTTTGTTTAAAAAAAGGAGGAGGCAGTTCCCAGTGCCTTTAACAAAAATTCCAGCTGTACAGAAGAAAATATTTTGTCCTCATACACGTTTAATCAATCATTCTGTAAATACTATTAGGTAGCTGGCAGATCAATAGTTACAAAATATAAAACAAACCAAAAAAACCCACTCAAATGTACTTGCATAAGCACGATGCTGGTGAACGTTGCATTTTTCTAGAAAATTTCTGTTCTCTGATCAAAATTCTAATCCTCATGACAAATTGTAATTCTAAAATCATACTATTCCTTCCAGTACGGGCCTGTCACTCAAACTCTGACAATGAAGATCAGGAGGCAAAACTTTGCCCTTAAGATCTAAATTATGTATCATTAGCTGCTCTGTTACTACTCTTTGTAAGGAAGGTTAGGTTTTATTTGTTTTCTTTTAAAATATTTTTCATAGTAGAAGTGGGAGCAATCCAACACCCTGAATCAAAATAATCCTATTGTTTTCTTGAATAGTACTTCATTAAGGGTCTATGCCAGTATTTGCAAACAATGCTGGGGACAATATTGCAAACAACATTGTACTGTAGAGAATGCATTATAAAAAGCTCACTTCCACCTGAATGCCTCTTATTTGTTGGTTCACCTGGCAGCCAACAGCAGACTAGGAAGACTGAGAATTATTACATAGAATGATCCCCCCTCAGAATAAATTAGAGCCTTTGACTATTCTAGTCCTAAATTCCCCAAGAAAATATGGACATAACTCATAATTAGGTTTTGGTTAACTGCTTCATATTGTACAAACTGCTAGACTGTAGTAAAATCACCAGAGAGAAAAGAAACAGGAAGAGGAAGCTGTGGGATATTGTTTGTGCTATTTCATTTTTTAGCCTACAAACAAATACTTTCAGAATTAAAATGTCAGATAATATTGATTAAAAAAATAATTTAATTTAGCTTTGCTGGTGAAGTATCAATCACATAACGACAGTGAAGATGCATCCTTTTTTTTTTTCAGCAGGTGCACTTGGTCAGGATTTGTACCTAGTCACACGGGCAGGGCCAATACAACAATTTCAGATGTCCACTCACACTCTAAGCAAGCCATGACAAGGTAAACATCTCTGGTAGGCTGTGAATTGTGTATCCATGCTATTCACCAGATTTACTATATATTTGCTTAAACCAGGAGATGTTCTGGAGAGGTTCTCAGTGTGTAACAGTCTAAAGCCATCATACAGGTTGTTTACACTAACCAACTGTAATGACATATTCCCTCAGCATGTACAGACTTAACGATGAGCCACAAAACAGAAGACAATTTGGGGGAAAACATAATTAAGGTAAGCAGAAATTCACTAAATCTCATTTTAGCATTTTGGATAAAGCAGAGCAGTACAGTGATTTTATCATCAGATTCCTCAACAAGAAACTGAACTTGGGTTGTAAGAACAGTGCGGGACAAGAATCAGCCCCTCTTAGCTACAGAGTGACTATCATGAGCACTACAGCAAAAAGACAGAAACAAAACAAAACACACCTTAAAAAAATTTTTTTTAAAAATACAGGTTAATTTATTAGACAGCAGGGATTCAAGACTGAAGCAGTAATTGTTCTGCCTCATTTTCAATTTAAATCAGTTGTTATTCAAAGAAGCAGGAGAGATGTCCCACTAAAAAGCACGTAGTTATCTCACCATTCATACGTCATATAAGGCAAATTACCTTCACTATTAGAACTGTTTCCATTATCATTTAAACAGTACAACAATGTCTTGGGAACCTAGGATTGGACAGGCATTTCTAGAAACAGACACAGGAAAAGCTCAAAATAAACAAGCAGCCCTGACTCCAATCGACCCGTGCAGATAAATGATGGTGACACTTCCAACTGGGTACTAAATGTTAAAAGAAGATTATAGCAGAAGGAGCTCCACCACCAGCTGCTCAGAGCCACAGGGTTTTGACACGGTTAACCAAAGTGTGGTTAGTAAACCCTTGCAGAAAGCATAAAAAGGGCTACCTGCACCACGGCTTAGAGGGGACACGGAGCGGTGCCCACCGCAGGCATGCTGAGCTTCTGTGATCGTGAAGCTCAACCTATTTGCTTTCAATGAGCTTTCCACTCTGCAATGGGCTCTATGTAAAGAGTCTTTGGGACAGCTTTCCTCCCGCGGAGGCTAAAGCTAGTGTGTTATCCCCAAGAAACACGCACGTTTCACACCTGGTTTGGCTGAAATTAAAGACTCCCTTCTTTCCTTTCAGAGATAAATGGTAACGATGCATAAAAAGCTTTTTAACTGCTTTTTACTTATATTGCTAGGCTGAGAGAAAACATGCATGCCTGTTAATTTATTCTCTTGACACAGCTCGGTTAATACTTCCATCGTTGCAGGTCTTGCAGAAACAGGTGGTCCAGCTGTGGGGAAATGCTGAGCAAAACCATTCAACTTACAATGGCTGGGGGTTGTCCACCTCTACAGCAGCAAGATGCTCAAAACTTTGGTTATCCTTAGCCAAAAAAGACTGTCTGCAGTAGTCTCTGTAGCCCTCCTCACCAATCCCTTTCACATCTTTCAGCAATGCCTGCATGAACACAAGGCAGTGCTTCACAATGAACTGCCAGGATGAGAGCCAGCAGGTATCCCCACACCCCTCTAACCTCACCTTCCTTAACCTCATATTTTCCCAACACTTAGAATCACTCTTCAAGTAAAACATTGACCCTTGCTGAAACCACTGCAACCTCATTTTCAATTAAAGTTCTCATTTTAAGCCACATGATTTCAGGGTTTCATGCAAGCCAATTGCCTCTTCAAGTGGTGTTAAGAAAGCAGTTTTGCTGATAAATCCCAAAGTGGCTACTTCTCAGTCCTGAAATACATTTTTACTGCATTTGAAGAAAGTTTTGCAAACCAAGAAAAGCCATCTTATTTCCGCTGATAAAATTACAGCAAAATTCAGCAAAACTGCAAACTAAAACTATCAAAGATGTTAACAGGATTACATTCGCATCATATGGCATTGCAAAAATTACATAATCTGCCTTGCATTCAGACTTGCTAGAGGCTTGCATTCTGAGGGGTAAACCCAAGCATATTTGAAAATATCATCAGCAATGCTTTCAAGAGAGAACAAAGAATTGTTCGAATGAGTCATAGCATCTTGCTTCACACATTAGCTCCATGGCTTCATAAACCAGAAAGGCAGGTTTCTACTGGCTGAAGAAAATGACAGCCAGAATATTCAGGAGAGATCTGATTTAATTGTATTTTTTTAATGAAAAAGAAATTGTTCTATTAAAAATGGTACATACAGTACTATATTTTAACATAAAACATATGTATATTTAGTCACCAGAAATTCTTATCTTCCACACTGCTCATTGCTTTTTAGCTCCAGTGAGGTTTTACTAGTTGGATTTTTTTTTATTTTCTCTTTTGTATTGTACACAGCAGTGCAGGCCTAATCAGGTCCATGATCAATATTAACTATCGATGAATCGATGAATCTAATCGATGAATCTAAAGACAAAGCAAGATGTGCAGCAATGTCTGCCTCCGTAGGATGCTAGTCCCCCTCTTGAAAGAAAAGTGGTGTAGGTAGTGAAGCCTCTTTTTATTAAAAACAAAATAAAAAACAAATCACCTCTTTTAGTTCAAGCACCCATCATGAACCTGAAGTAATTAAATCCATTGACTCTACCTCTTACAACCTTATAAGTGCTACGGAAGATGCAGATGAATTCACGAGCCTTTGCTCAAATAAAATAGCTTAAAACTTCGGTTGAACATAACCGTTACCTTTTGAGATGCCTCCCCCCACCACGACCATTGTTAGAGTTTATTGGAAAGTCACACCTGATGCTGAATTAGTTATTCTGCTTATATACTGGCATGAGAAAAAAAATACAGAACAAGAGCAGGTTTCTAATGCTGAACAAGGGAGTTTATATTAGAGTGTGGAAAAACAAGGAGGATGCTATGGGAGATGACACACAATCATGCTGAGATATTCAAAACCACCTGCGTAACATCCCCACATTGCCCTGTCGAGCACAGGACTGCATGGGTTTTGCTGCTAACAAGCCCTCCAAGTGGGAAGCGCATTTGATCTGCTACCTATGTGCTAGAGAGCAGCTAGTGCCCATGCAGTACACGAGGTGCTCTGTACATGCTGGCGACGGAGTGTGGGCACCGGCATTCTCTCTGACAGTGCACAGGGAAGGGCAGAGAGCAAGCACAGCTCTTGACGTGTGTGTCAGCACCACCCCACGTGCATCGACCAGCCGGACAGCATCAGTATCCTGAGGCAGACATACTCCAGACAGTAAACTTTACGCAGCATTTTCAGAGACCAAACTGCAGTATTTTGTCCTACATAAAGGTTACTAAGGAGAGATGAAAATTATGCACAAAAACAGCGTACAGTCATGCAACTGAGCGTGAGCACAGTCACCAGTTCATCCCATTCCTGGTAGATATGTAACAGAAACAGGTGTCTCCAAACAGCACTTTCTCACTGTTCTTTGTCCATTTTTCCCCCTTACCTCAAGCTCAGAAAAGACCAGGCAGCACCGCAGTTTTTCCCTCACCTTCCATCTATAAAAGCAGCAAGGCATAAGGCTCTAAAATCAAAGTTCTTGGTGGTCTTTACCAACATACAGTAAGCACCTCTTTTCTCCAAGGCAGTCAACCAGCTAGGCCTCAATTTGTGCATTGCGTGTTCAAGCAGAGAAAAATCTTCAAATTAACAATACTAAGTATTTACAAATATTTACCTAGATAAACCAGCTTGACCTTAATTTGCAGAATGCATGTCCAAACAGAGAAGAATTTACATTAGTGTTATTTTATATGTGCAGACATTCCCCAACACAATCACATAACAGAAGTAAATACTTTGAGAAACTGAGGATTTAACAC